GGGAGGGAGGAGGGGGAGGAGTGAGTGACGCGGGGCGCCGTCTCTTCAAAACGAGGACCGAACACATCAGGACGGTTGGGAATTATACTGGCGACGGACCCAACCATATGTAGTTGTGGGTACCGCAATTGTGAATATTTTCTTCGGTGGAGCTCCCTATGGGGCCACGAAGCGCTGCACTGGGTGGGGGGGAACGCATGCGGGCGGTAGAACTGGGGCCGTCGGGCGAACTCCCTATGGGGCCACGAAACGCCGTACTGGGTGGGGTGAAAATGCCAAATTTGGCGTGTGGGACGCATGCGGGCGGTCCCACTGGTGGCTTCGGTGGAGCTCCCTATGGGGCCACAAAAACGTATGAGGGGTGTGCCACATTTGGTTTCCAGGACGCATGCGGCAGTCCCACTGGGGGCTTCGGTGGAGCTCCCTATGGGGCCACGAAGCGCTGCACTGGGTGGGGGGGAACGCATGCGGGCGGTAGAACTGGGGCCGTCGGGCGAACTCCCTATGGGGCCACGAAGCGCCGTACTCGGTGGGGAGAACATGCAAAACCTGATGTGTGTGGGACGCATGCGGGCAGGTCCCACTGGTGGCTTCGGTGGAGCTCCCTATGGGGCCACGAAACGTATGAGGGGTGTGCCAAATTTGGTTTCCAGGACGCATGCGGACGGTCCCACTGGTTGCTTCGGCGGAGTTCCCCATGGGGCCACGAAGCGTTGTATTGGGTGGGTGAAAATGCCAAATTGGGCTTCCGAGACGCACGCGGACGGTCCCATTGGGGGTTTCGGTGGAGATCTCTACGGGGTCACGAAACGCCGTAGTGGGTGGTATGACAATACCAAAATTGTGATTCAGGGACCCACGCGGACAGTCCCACTGGGGGCTTCGGTGGGGCTCTCTATGGGGCCACGAAGCGGACGCATGCGGACAGTCCCAGGGGCTTCGGGCTCTCTATGGGGCCACGAAGCGCTGTACAGGGTGGGGGGACGCATGCAGACGGTAGCACTGGGACCTTCGGTGGGGCTCCCTATGGGGCCACGAAGCGTTGTACTGGGTGGGGGGGACGCATGCGGACGGTAGCACTGGGACCTTCGGTGGGGCTCCCTATGGGGCCACGAAGCGCTGTACTGGGTGGGGGGACGCATGCGGACGGTAGCACTGGGACCTTCGGTGGGGCTCCCTATGGGGCCACGAAGCGCTGTACTGGGTGGGGGGGACGCATGCGCATGCGGATGGCCACGGCGCTGTACGCATGCGGACGGTAGCACTGGGACCTTCGGTGGGGCTCCCTATGGGGCCACGAAACGCATGCGGGGCACTGGGACCTGGCGGGGCGACCTGCGGAGCCACGGAACGCTGTACTGGGTGGGGGGGACGCATGCGGACGGTAGCACTGGGACCTTTGGTGGGGCCCCCTATGGGGCCACGAAGCACAGTACTGGGTGGGGGGGACGCATGCGGACGGTAGCACTGGGACCTTCGGTGGGGCTCCCTATGGGGCCACGAAGCGCTGTTCTGGGTGTTCTGGGTGGGACGCATGCGGACGGTAGCACTGGGACCTTCGGTGGGGCTCCCTATGGGGCCACGAAGCGCTGTACTGGGTTGGGGGGGACGCATGCGGACGGTAGCACTGGGACCTTCGGCGGGGCGACCTGCGGAGCCACGGAACTAGAGGCCTCCTAGATGGGGTCGGAGTAGATGGGGTCGGAGGATCGCGCTGCATCGGCGATACATCGGCGATACATCAGCGATGCATCGGCGATGCATCGGCGATGCACCACCGATGCATCGCTGGCGTCGGCGACGCATCGGCGACGTCGGCGTGGAGAAAATCGGGCTCCGCATCGAGCCGCATCGCCGATGCATCGCCGATGCGGCGCGATCCTCCGACCCCATCTACTCCGACCCCATCTAGGAGGCCTAGAGGAACGCTGTACTGGGTGGGGGGGACGCATGCGGACGGTAGCACTGGGACCTTCGGTGGGGCTCCCTATGGGGCCACGAAGCGCTGTACTGGGTGGGGGGGGCGCATGCGGACGGTAGCACTGGGACCTTCGGTGGGGCTCCCTATGGGGCCACGAAACGATGTACTGGGTGGGGGAGACGCATGCGGACGGTAGCACTGGGACCTTCGGCGGGGCGACCTGCGGAGCCACGGAACGCTGTACTGGGTGGGGGGGACGCATGCGGACGGTAGCACTGGGACCTTTGGTGGGGCCCCCTATGGGGCCACGAAGCACAGTACTGGGTGGGGGGGACGCATGCGGACGGTAGCACTGGGACCTTCGGTGGGGCTCCCTATGGGGCCACGAAGCGCTGTTCTGGGTGGGGGGGACGCATGCGGACGGTAGCACTGGGACCTTCGGTGGGGCTCCCTATGGGGCCACGAAGCGCTGTACTGGGTTGGGGGGGACGCATGCGGACGGTAGCACTGGGACCTTCGGCGGGGCGACCTGCGGAGCCACGGAACTAGAGGCCTCCTAGATGGGGTCGGAGTAGATGGGGTCGGAGGATCGCGCTGCATCGGCGATACATCGGCGATACATCAGCGATGCATCGGCGATGCATCGGCGATGCACCACCGATGCATCGCTGGCGTCGGCGACGCATCGGCGACGTCGGCGGGGAGAAAATCGGGCTCCGCATCGAGCCGCATCGCCGATGCATCGCCGATGCGGCGCGATCCTCCGACCCCATCTACTCCGACCCCATCTAGGCGACCTGCGGAGCCACGGTGGGTGGGGGGGACGCATGCGGACGGTAGCACTGGGACCTTCGGTGGGGCTCCCTATGGGGCCACGAAGCGCTGTACTGGGTGGGGGGACGCATGCGGACGGTAGCACTGGGACCTTCGGTGGGGCTCCCTATGGGGCCACGAAACGATGTACTGGGTGGGGGAGACGCATGCGGACGGTAGCACTGGGACCTTCGGCGGGGCGACCTGCGGAGCCACGGAACGCTGTACTGGGTGGGGGGGGGACGCATGCGGACGGTAGCACTGGGACCTTTGGTGGGGCCCCCTATGGGGCAACGAAGCACAGTACTGGGCGGGAGAACGCATGCGGACGGTAGCACTGGGACCTTCGGTGGGGCTCCCTATGGGGCCACGGAGCGCTGTACTGGGTGGGGGGGGACGCATGCGGACGGTAGCACTGGGACCTTCGGTGGGGCTCCCTATGGGGCCACGAAGCGCTGTACTGGGTTGGGGGGGGGACGCATGCGGACGGTAGCACTGGGACCTTCGGTGGGGCTCCCTATGGGGCCACGAAGCGTTGTTCTGGGTGGGGGGGGGGACGCATGCGGACGGTAGCACTGGGACCTTCGGTGGGGCTCCCTATGGGGCCACGAAACGCTGTACTGGGTGGGGGGAGACGCATGCGGACGGTAGCACTGGGACCTTCGGTGGGGCTCCCTATGGGGCCACGAAGCGCTGTACTGGGTTGGGGGGGACGCATGCGGACGGTAGCACTGGGACCTTCGGTGGGGCTCCCTATGGGGCTACGCAACGTGTGAGGGGTATGCTGAAACGGGTGATGATGATGATGATGATGATGATGATGATGATGATGATGATGATGATGATGATGATGATGGTGATGGTGATGGTGATGGTGAGGTGATGGTGATGGAGGAGGGGAAGGGGGAGGACAAGCTAAGTGCGCTCGCGTCATATCTGACATCCGACCCCTCCCTCCCATCCCGTACCATGGCGTAGGTTCCGTCTCTTCTCGCACGGTCGGATGTCGAGCAAGGCAACGATCCCGAAAGGGTAGGCGATGCATTGTAGAGCACGGCATGGCATGGCGTAGAAGAGCACCGCAAAGCGTAGTATGTCACAGCATGGCGTGGCGTGGCGTAGTGAAGAATTGCATCACAAAGCTTTGCAACGCAAAGCATGGCATTGCACAGCGGCCCCGAACATAACATTGCATAGCATGGCGTTGAAGATCAAAGCGTAGCATGGCATAGCACGACGTGGCACTTAATCACTGCATATCACAGCTTCAGCTGAAGGCGTGGCATCGCGCAGCGGAACGCAACCTAACATTGCATTGCATGCCGTGGCATGGCACGGAAAATGAGGCCAGCGCTGCAGCGGGAGCACGATTCAGAACGAGCGGAAGCACGGAAATTAGGCCAGCCGCATTTTGAAAACAAATGCAGGCGAAACCCTACTCCGGGGAATCCTGTGTAAAAAACAATACGCGGGGGGGGGGGGGCGAGCACTCCCAACCCGTCATCAGGGGAAGGAGGAGAGTAGTATTCATATTGAGTAATTGTGGAGAGGAGAGGAGGAGGAGAACGCGGGGCGACGTCTCTTCAAAACGAGGACCCAACACCACAGGGTGGTTGGGAAAAACGATGGATGACGAAATGGAAGGCGGGCGAAACGAAAGGCGGACGAAACGAAAGAAAACAAGCTGAAAGGATACGAAATGGAAACGGAAGAAATAAACGCCCACCCTCTCGAACGTGCGCGAGCACGGGAAGTGTGGCAAAAGCTCTGTAACCAACCACTACAAAACAAGTAGCACCTTCGGCGACTCTACACCATGGGCCAAAACGAATGGTCCAACGAACTTTCTGTCCAGATTCCTTTCTAGATTCAGGCGAGCGGCGCAGCTAGACGCGATGCAGCCAACAGCAAATTACAGTGGATACAAGCCCAACGCAAGCCACCTGCCGACAGCAGAAGATCGTCTGCACCCTGCGCGCTGCATTCCCATGGCCCACCTCCGGCCTCCTCGTGCACGGCCGAGCTCTGCCTGGCCCGACCGCAAATTCGCAGGCATGGAAGCTGGGGCTGGGCATGCGTGCACCCCCGGGGGGCAGGAGAAGCAGGAGAGGAAGGGGGAGGCGGGGCGGAGAGCTCGCCCGGGGGGGGGGGGTCGCCGTGCGAGGGCGAGCACATCTCGCCCACCAGCCACAACTGGGAGAGCTGTGCTCCTTGTTGACGACGTCGAAGCACGTCTCAGGGGCCCTGCGGCAGCAGCGGCGCACGCATGCCGCCGGCCTGGCCGCCAACCTCGGCCTCCGCAAACTGCGGGGCGGGGCCGCCCTTCGCCACATACTCGGCGAGGCCCAGCAGGGCGCCGAAATACGGGTCGCTCAGCTCCTGGAACTTCTTCTCCTGCTCTAGCGTCAGCGTGCCCCGACCATCGCCGACCTCGCCGTTGCCGATCATGGTCCCCTCCTCCGACTTCATGACGGTGCAAGCGCAATACTCCGAGGAGATGTCATACTTGAAAATGCCGTCGTTCTTCTTCATCCAGCCAAGGGGCACTTTCTCCTCGATAAGTGGCCACGAGCACTCGGGAATTGCCACGTCGCAGAAGGCTGCGATCTTCCGCGGACAGCCCCTGATGTCTGACTTCGAATCGTTGTACTAGAGAAGCAGCACATTGGGGTCTTTGCGGCACGGGCAACACGCCGCGCAATAGCCGAAGTAGAAATTCGGCTGCTCCTCGGACTGCACGGTGAAGAACTTGGAAATGGCATCCCAGACTTGAAAGTGGCATCCCGGTCCGGAAAAATCGGCGGGAAGCCACCCCACATCTTCTTGAACGCGTCGCTGCGGGATGCGAAGAAAGGGTATAACAAGGCCATCACGTCCCTGCCTCCCCGCATGCAAATTATATACTTCACTCCGGGCCTTTCCCTGACAGGTACGACCGCGTCTCTTTTGGCTGCCTCCTTCCACGGTTCGCCGATCTTCCAGGCCCGTAGTGCGACTTGAAGACGTTGAACTTGGGGGCGGGGTTCGTCATCCCGTCCAGCCCAAACAAGTGTGGTCTATCTTCTCCGTCTGGGTCTCGCCCCGATAGCAGCCACACTCTGGTCAGAGCATCGTGTGCGTGTTCATGTCGAGGAAATTGTCGGGGTCGCCGAGAGTCCGGATCTGGTGCACGTTGTTCGTCAGCCAGGTGGTCCCAGACTTGGCGCCCACGCAGCAAACAGCATCGACATCCTCCGTTAAACACTTAGAGAGGTGCTCGCCCTCCCATACCCAGGTCACGAAGTGGGGCGCACCTTGCCCCGAGGGGGCTTCTGCAGCCTGAAGAAGGCCCTCGGGCAACAGATCTTCACGAGCACCACCGTGAGGATGAGCGCCCCCGGCAGGGCCACAGGCACCAGAAGTACTGCCAGCCACAGCGGCGTCATTGCACGCCCGCCTCCGCGGCAATTCGGGCCCCGCTCGCCCACTCCGAAAGTGCGCGCGCACGCGCGGGTTTGGGGCTCCTTGCCTTGAGCCAACTGGCTACGGAAGGTCGTTTGTCCGTCCCGCCTTCCTCTTTGCCAGCTGTATGCCGCAAGCGACGCACCTCAGGCGAAACCCGCACAGTTACAAAGCGCACGTCCCAATCTCCAGCCGCGTGGCCTGACGGCTGGGGGGGTGCTCCTCCCCCCGCCCCCTCCCTCTCCCTCCCTCCTCCTCGCCGCCCCCTGGCCACGCGCGTCGCGGCGGGCGTGGCGCACTCGCGGTGGCGCAGCAGGATGTGCCGCAACCGGAGGCTCTTGACCTGGCTGGGCTCTGACGCACCGAGCGTCGGCCCGGCGGCCGCCCCGCGGGTGGAGGTCTCCGCCGTCGTAGCCGTCGTCGCCGTCGAAGTAAAAGATGTGGAACGGTTTTCGGACGTGCGCTGCGCTTTTCGGGCGCTTCGCTTCAGGTTCTGGCCAAGCTCGGCGCGCTCGCAGTATCTGACATCCAACCCCTCCTTCCCATCCTTTGCCATTGCGCGGACTCGTGTCATAGCCGACCTGGAAGTCCACGAAAGACCCAACTGCGCTATGCGCAATCGAGAAAAAGCTAAATTTGCGGGACCCGTGCGACCTGGGTGGCCTCTGCGGCCTGTGGAGCATGTGAGACCTGCGACACCTGTGGGACCTATGGAACCTGTGGAACCCTTGGGACCTGTGGGACCTGTGGGACCTGTGAGACCTGCGAGACCTGCGAGACCCGTCGCACTGGCGAAACCTGCGGGACCTGTGGGACCTGGGGGACCTCTGTGGGACATGTGAAACATGCGACACCTGTGGGACCTGTGGGACCTGTCGGACCTGTGGGGCATGCAAGTCCTGCGACACCTGCGGGACCTGTGGAACCTTCAGACCGGTGGTGCCTGTGGGACCTGTGGGATGACCTCCGACACTTGTGCGTCCAGTGGGCCCTGTGGGACCTGTGGTGCCTGCGAGACCTGCGAGACCTGTGGGACCAGCGAGACCGGTGGGATCCAGAAAAGTTGCCCACGCTGGGGCGGGAGCGTCATTCTGACAACGGGAGCACAGCGCCGATGCGAAAATGAGGCCCACGCTGCAGCGAGAGCACCATTTGTCTGGCGAAAGGCCCAACCATATGCAGTCGTGAGAACCGCAGTTGTGACTATCGTCTTCGGTGGAGCTCTTTATGGGCCAGCTGCACTGGGCGGGCGGGGGAGATGTATGCGAACTTTGCCACTGGGGCCTTCGGTGGTGCTTCAAATGGGCTACGGAACGTCGTACTTGGCGGGGAGACGCATGCCAACTTAGCCACTGGGGCCTTGGTGGAGCTCCCCATGGGCCACGAAACACTGTACTGGGTGGGGGAGCCGAATGCAAACTTTGCCACTGGGCCCCGGGACATCAGAAACCCCTAAAGGGGAGTGAAACCCCCCCAACCCCCCACGCCCCCAACCCCCCGATCGCCCAACCCGATCCTGGCAACCACCCAATCCCCAAACCCTTCCAACCCCCCAACCCAACTATCCCCAAACTCCCCAACCCCCCAACCCCCCAAACCCCCAACCCCCACCCCCCCCCGCCCAACCCCCCAACCCCCCAACCCCTCCAACCCACCAACCCGCAACCCCACAACACTCCAACCCCAACCACCGAACCCCCCACCCCCCAATCTCACAACCCCCCAACCCCCCGACCCCTCCAATCCTCCAACACCCCAAACCCTCCAATCCCCCAACCCCCCCACGACTCAACCCGCGAACCCCCCAACTCCCCCTCAGCCCCCCATCCCCCCAAAGCCTGGAGGGGTTTCACTCCCTGGAGGAGTTCCTGATGTCCCCGGGTTGGGTGGTTGGGGGTGTGGGGAGTTTGGGGGTTGGGGGGTTGGGGAGTTGGCGGGATGGAGCGTTGGAGGGTTGAGGCGTTGGGGGGGTGGGGGGTTGGGAGGTTGGGTGGTTGGGGATTTGGGGGGTTAGGGGGTTGCGGGGTTGGGCGAATGGGGGGTCGGGGTGTTCGGCGGTTGGGTTGGGTGGTTGGGGAGTTAGAGGGGTTGGAGGGGTTGGGGGGGCTGGGGGTTGGGGTGTTGGGGGGTTGCAGGGGGTGGGGGGTTGGGGGTTGGGGGTGGGTTATTGGGTGGTTGGGGGGAATTGGGGGTGGGGGTTTGGGGGTTGGGGGTTGGGTTGGGGGGTTGGGAGGTTTTGGGGCTGGTGGGTTGGCGGGCTCGAGGGGTTGGGGGATTGGGTGGGTGGCAGGATTGGGTTGGGGGGCTGGGGGGTTGGGCGGTTGGGGGGGTTGTGGGGTTGGGGGGTTGGAGGGTTCGAGGGGTGGGGGGTTGGGGGTTGGGTGGGTCTGGAGGGTTGAAGGGGGGGATGAGGGACTGGGGGGCTGGAGGGGATTGGAGGGAGTAGGAAGTTGGGGGGGTGGGGGGTATGGAGGGGCTGGGGGAATTGGGGTGTTGGGGGCTTGGGGGCTGGACGGCTGGGTGGTTGGGGGTTGGTGGGGTTGCGAGGTTGGGGTTTTGAGGGTTGTGGGATTCGTGGGCTGGGGGTTGGGGAAAAGAGCCGCCAACCAACTAGTTCCAGATGCAATGCCCCAAGATGTCCCCAAGAGGCTCCCATGAAACTCTCAAAGGTCCCAAGAGGCTCCCCAGAGGCACCCAAGACGCACCAAGAGGCCCCAAGGACTGCCAAGAGACCCCCAAGACACCCCAAGGGGACTCCAAGAAACTCTTGGAAGAAATTCGAGGAGGTTCCGAGAGGCATCCAAGAGGCGTCTGGCCGTTCTGCTCACCCTCCTCCTCCTCCTCCTCCTCCTCCTCCTCCTGCTCCTGTTCCTTCTCCTTCCTTCCTTCTCCTCCGCGGCACTCCTGACGCGTTCTTTGCTTACCTCGATCAGGTCTTGATGAAGGCCGGGCCTAGATTTCTTTCGTGAACATGCAGACCGTCCAACCTGCGGCAGCTGATCTTGAAGACGATCACCGCGCTCAGCGGCGTGCGCAAGACAGGAGCCGCTCCCCGTAGCCTGCTCGAGAGGGAGGTCGCCCGCACGATCGAGGCCCAGGGCAAAGGGAAGTTCTTCTGAGAGTAGGAAATGTCGTGAGGGGAAGTGCTGAGGCAAAAAATGTTCGGCCCCAGTTCTGATCAGCACAAATTTTGAGCCTACGCGTTTTAGTGTAGCAACCTCGGTAAACACAGCCAGCAGCATGGTAGCAGCATCTAGTGAGCAGCCTAGCGAACCTTGTCAGTCCATCAGGCACCTTGGAAATCGGTCTTCGAATTTCCTTCCAGCGCCGCTTCCAGCCACTGGGAATCGGTCTTGGAATTTACTTCCGGCGCCGCTTCCAGCCACGCGCGAACTCGATCGCGGACGGGGAAGTGAAAGCGGGGTTGGGCGGGGAGCATCGAGTAGAAGACGTGCGAAGCCTCCGACGCGAGGTGCGAACGTTTGGTCGACTAGCACCCGTTACCAAGAGCTTTTGAGGAGCGGGAGGCTCCCAGGGGCACGAATCACTGGGGCGGTGGGCGGGGTGCGCGCCTCGAACCCCTCAGGGTGCCCTCCAGGGATGCGTGCCCGTAGCGAGGGTTGCCCTTACAGGGGCAGTGCGCCCTGTGGGCGAGAGCACAAGGGTCACGTCCAGAGGTTGATCGGCGTTCAAATGAAATGTCCCCCGGAGTTCGCAGTTTATAATGTCAGACCGCTGCTTTGTACCAGGACTCCTTGGGTGATTGCTTGCCTGCTTCTCCTTCCTGCGGCCTCCTCCCCCTCCCCCTCCCTTTCCCTCCCCTCCTCCTCCTCCTCATCCTCCTCCTTATCCCCCTCTTGGAGTATGACGTCTTACCTGGCCCTGAATTCCACTGGATGCTCCTCCACATCCCTGATCAGGGCAACTAGTCTGGGCATCGTTTCTGGGTGGGCTGGCAGGGTTACGCTAAGCGTCTACAGTTTTACCAGAAGTAACTGGACCTGGCTAGATTGGATTGAACCTCGCTGCACCTGATCAAATGATAACTACGTCTGGTGAAAGATGAACGGCCCTGACAAACCTGGCTCAATCAAACTTACTCCGACGGTAGGATCCCGCATGGCAACCTCCCAGAAATAGCTCAAGAGATTCTCGCAACTGGCTGAGGAATGACGCTCCTGCTCGGGACTTCATCCAGCTGGCCATGCTGGCCTGCCAGACCTGTAGGACCTGCGGGACCTGTGGGACCTGCGCGAACAGTGGGACCTGTGGGACCTGAAGGAACTGTGGGACCTGTGGGACCGTTGCGACCGGACCTGTGAGACCTGTGAGAACCGTGGGACCCGTGGGACCTGTGGGACCCGTGGGGCCTGCGGGACCTGTGCGACCTGTGGGACCTGTGCGACCTGTCGGACCCGTGCGACCTTTTGGGGTCTGGTGCCGCACATCACTAGTTCACATACTTCCTCCCCGTGCTCCTATTTAATCACGGCAGGCTCCTGTCGTGACGTCGGCCGTGGTTACCGACACTACGCGGACGCGCAACATTGAACGATCGCGCCTTCCGATCGCGCGAACAATTGGATATCGGCCGAATCTGGGGCACTGATGGCGTTCAACCTTGAGCTCCCGCGCTGGGGTCGCCGCCGCCTCCACACTAGAAGTCACAGTCTGGTATGATGAGCAGGTAAAACCCTGCAAAATAGAGGGTATCCTCGTCCCCTGTCTACCGCCTTCTACGCCCCCTTCATTTCTGGAGCACGGGTTCACGGGTTGCTATCGAAAGAGACTTGTGTCCTATCGGGTGTGCCCTGCACTCAATACCTATCGACCTTAGCTGCCCCGATACGCGACACGCAACCCGTAGCATCTTGACACGAAACTCTACATGCAGATTCAAAACGTATATGTGGCGCGATACGTTCGGCACATGCAGGCCTTCACGGCTTGACTCAACAAGCAGCGTGCGTAAGCACGGGACAAACTGCTTTTCAACACGGGCGTACCAGGGCAGATAACATTTCGACTGTCCTCCTCCTCCTCCTCCTCCGCCTCCTCCTCCTCCCCAAATCCTGGCATCCCTCAAGCTCCCCGCCCCATCCCTGGAGGCCGGGGCTGGGCGCGGCGTGCGGCTCGGCTTACCGCGCCGCCGTCGGTCTTTAGCCTCTTCGCCGCCTCTGCCCGGCGCGGCCGCACGCCGCCCACGGCGGCCTGCTCGTCCCCCGACGACGGCGACGACGTTCACGACCCTTGACTCCCCAGGTCACCACCACAACCCCGACCCCCCCGACCCCTCGATCCCTCCGCCGTCCCTGCGCAGCGCAGGAGCGCCGCCCGGGTGCACGGGTGGCTCCCCGACGACGACCGCGACGACGATGCCGAAAACGAGGACGATGATGACGGTGAGGACGACGGGGACGAACGACTGCGTCCTCGTCGCCGTGGTGGTCGTCGACGGGCGGCGATCACTCCCCCCCCCTCGACATGGCATCCATCGATCCCCAGAAATGGCCGCGAAAGGGGCTGGGGGATCCAGGAGATCTGGGGAACATCCAGGGGGGTAACTTGAACTAGGAGGAGGAGGAGGAGGAAGAGGAGGAGGAGGAGGAGGAGGAGGAGGAGGAGGAGAAGGAGGAGGAGGAGGAGGACCGAGGAAAAGGGGACGAGGCCTCGGCCTCGAAGTGCACGACAGCCCAGCGTGCCTCCACCGAGTTCTCGCTGATCGCCTTGAGCTTGGCGGCCACTGCCCTCTGAAAATCAGTGGCCGCGTGGACGCGGACTGTTACAAAGCGTCGACCTGCCGATCGAACTCCGTCACGTCCGCCAGGGCAGCATGGCGCTGAGCATTCGCTGTCGCACTCCGTCACTCCGACACTCTCGACACCGTGGCGATGGGCAGATACACGCCAGTCGCGCCAGCATCGGAGCACCTGCGCGGAGTTCAACTCGGCAGCGGAGGGATGCGCCAGCCGCCTGGTCACCGCAAACACGGCGCTGGCGCCGTTGCCCAAGCATGCTCGGCATGGGCGCTGCCTTGCGCGGCTGCCAGTGTTTGGCCGTCGCCCGTGCCACCTTTGCGATCCACTGCGGCGCAGGCTGTGGGCAACGCTGCCAGCGCAAGCGGCATAACAAATTGTCCGCGCATCCGTGCTGGCATGCCCTGCATGACGCCCGTGCCCTGCGGCTGCCAGACGGGGCCATGCAAGCAAGTCTTTCCTCTGAGAATCGGGATAAGGCGGCAAAGGAATTAAGGTCTCATGTTCTCTCTGTTCAATGGTAGAAGGTTCAGGGAGAGACATCAATGATAAGACAAATATACCGCTAAGCAATAGCACCCAAGAGTAGGAAGGGAGGAGGCCGGCCGGCCAACGACCAACGACGCGCGACGGACGAAGGCAGGCGCGCTCCTTTTCTCTCTTGAGCACTGAAAGGCTGCGGAACAGTGCCGCATCATAGTACAGACAGTACATTGCAAGGCAGGCGGTGAGAGAAGCAAGATTATGACGAGGCGGAAAGGAGCATATTTACCCCCCCCGCGGCGGGCCTCGCAGGGCCCATCCGGCCACATCACCCCCGGCCTGCACATATGTGCAACCACCGGAGCCAACCGCAAAAAGTTTTACAGCTCAGCGGTGGCCGCCAGGTGGCTGAGGGCCGAAGAGGCCCGACGACTCCCACCATTAGTTAAATAATTTCTCTCCGCCGATTCGACTTTGTCGATCGGTAGAGCTTCCACAGCCGATGCGACTTTGTCGATCGGTTATTCCTTCAATGACTAAGTCACGCGGGTTTGGCCTAACTCAGATCGTCCTATGGATTACTGTCTCTCGACGGCGGAGTCGGAGGCCTCGGACGCGATGGCGACGAGCCTCCCTGTCCGCCATCTTTCCCACGGGGCGAGCGGGATCTATATCCCTTGCCACGGCCAGCGTGATACGCTGTTCTGTTGTGCTTGTCTTGGTTATTCGACTCTTTCCCCTTCGTCGGGAAGTAATTAGCGGTTCTAGTCCGTGTAAGACAGCATGTGCCACGCTCGTGATCACCAGATATTATTGGCCATCCACCAGATGCGGTCACGGTGAACATAGTATCCATCCTGGACGTCATTTGCGAAGTGCGGGTAGTGGACCTGCGGGTCGTAGCCAGCAGCGCCGCGGCCGACATCCATGGCTCCATCGCGCGCGCGGGGTGGTCTACACTAATGCCGTGGGTGAGCCGATGAATACCGCGAGTACTCTTCACCTGCCGAAGCGGCTGGGCCGCTGGCAGAATACGGAGATTCAGTGACCTCGTCGCGAGCCCGATCGGCTTGGACGTCGGGTCTGCGTGGTGGAGGTGGCGGAGTAGGTCTCGCCTTCGGCAAATCACCTGGTCTCGTCGGCCCCTCCAGATCAGCTCGGCTGTCTGGGGGCCCAGCGGCGCCTTCAGTCTCACCAGTTGTCGTCCCTCGATCTCGAATGAATCGAATAATTTCTCTTGCGGCGGTGGCAGCAGAGATGCCAAATCTTCCACGCGCAGCACAAAAGGGGCCTTCAACCTTATCTTGTAGTTCCATATCCTCGTCTTCGCAGTTCTCTAGGAGCCAAAGAATAGCCCCGTGCAACTTTGCGCCCTGACGACGGATGTTTGTGCGGACCTGTCTACCCAAAGTACGGGCCCATTCCTCGATGAGATCGTCCGTGTGAACCGCAGCACGAATGCGACAGTCGAGAGCGTATCCGTCCTCCTGTCGCTTATCCTCAGCGCGGTCCGAGCTCCCGCCCTGGGCAGGAGCGGTAATCCCGGGGTACGCAATATAATGCCCCTCGACAATAAAGCTACTAGTGATCTCGCGAACGATGGCGATCACGCGCATTATACGAAGACCCAATTGCATTTCCGAAACTGGGACTTTCCAATTCCCATCAATGACGTTGCGCACAATATCCGGGATTTCATGCGTCATTTCACCCGACAGTCGTAATCTGTTGGGATCGATTGTACCCGGGCGGAAAACTGTGGTACTCCATAACGTACTGTGCAGCCACTGCCTTGGCTTCGAGCTGGGTGAATGCAATATTCAACGAATTGTCTTCGCAGTGTGAGTATGTGTACCCATCTAGTTGATCGAGATCAAGTGTTCCCTCGATTATCAGCTCGGCCTTGGACCCGCTGACTGGAGCGAAGTCAAGCGTCACTTGTAAGTTCTCCTCACCTGCCGTCTCGGTTGGACCGGCGGCAGATTGGACAAGTCCCGAAACCAGACAGTGGTCAGAACACAAATTAACACGCCCGGTAACGGCCGTGCAACACGGTGGGGCCGTGCCACAAAACTATCTGCCCAGGCAACTGGTGGGCGTCCACGAGGGCTGTGCCCTGTGGTGTCCATTGCATTGTCCTGTTCAATGGGCAGCAATGGCGCTGCCCCAGCCCTTGCGTTTTTCAATGTCTCCAGCGTCGGCACGAAGATTCTCTGAGCGATCACTGTGCGCTCCCATCTTTCCCAACCTTCCACTGGTTCGCGAAGTTCGTCGGGCGCTTCTGGCCACTCGAAAGCGGCCAGAGCAGCTCAAGACATCGGGCGCGCATACTGATCGAGGTCCGTTGTCCAAAGCAATGGCCACCGGTCTGCGATCGGAAGAACTCTTATTCTCTGTCTTCCAGCCAGGTGTGCGAGCCACTTAATGAATCTCCTCTTCAGAGGCTCGAGGTACTGGAAGAAAGGACCGTGGCGCGCCAGCGGCTGGGCCGCGGCGTGGTCTGGGATCCAGGCAGGATAACTGCCTGTCCGACTGTTTCCAAAAGTTTGTCCTGAAGCGGACAATCGTCAATATTGAATCCTGGTTGCCCACTTGCGCTCTTGCTGCAGATTGTTGCTGATGTTGCATATCACATCCGCAGAAGCTCTATTCTGTCGTCTTACGCGCGCACCAGTCCAGCCAGCGCGATCATCAGGAAGCTCGTGGGAACCATTGACATGCAACAAAATTCCATGTCCCTCGAGGGACCTCGGAATAACCTCCCTGTTCCATGTCTGGAGCATGTAATCGTGGGTAACTCTTTAGTTGTAATTGATCGGATTGCTGCAGGAGGGACAATGCCCAAAGCCAGTCCTCACCCAGTGATAATAATTAGCGCACAGGAACCGCCCGTCGTCCGTCCATGGGATCGATTGGACGAGTTCCCGCGCATCGGGTGACAATGGAAGCATGCGGTTTGGAATCAAAGACAGCGTCTCATCCGTGTGAATCCAACCGAGCATCGAGTTGTTGTTAAAATCCACCTCGTACGACGCCCACTCATGGTTGAAAACTATGGACCGAGAGATTTGCTTCTCTCTGGGATCCTGCGAGTCTCCAATTTTAATAGGGCTGACGGCTTTGCCAATGTCAGTGAACTTCGGCACTTCGCGGGGCACAAGAGTCCCATCCTGGCAAATCCTGCGCGAACAGCGGGCGAGAACCCGGCCGCTGAAAACGAGAATTAAAGGCCAGGAATCCTTGTGATCTGGAAGCTGATCCCACAGACGGACTGTGTCCTCTGCGGGCCATGCTCCGACCGAGAGCGGCTCTCCTGGTTGCGCAGCATTGCCCATGGCCGCAGACTCCCTCGCGGGGACAGTCTCACCATTCCCCCGTTGGCTGAGCCACGAAGGAAGGTGATCTGCCTCTCGCATGACCGGATTCTTCTTGGTCGGAAGAAGCCTTAGCAAGTCGTAATCTGCCTCGAGACAAAGTCCCGAGTCTCTGTTTGGGAAATTGACTTCTCCGACTGTTGAATCCAACAGTGTCTGCGAGTCGGTGATATGAAGAAGAGGCATTATCTCAATGGAAGCAACAAAAGTGGAGTGTCCCTGACACGCTCAATAGGAAACAAAAATTGGAACTGCACTCCTCCCCCTCTTTTGATGGGGCCATGCCGTGTAGTCTTTCCACATGTCGTGGACTTTCGTTCCATCGATGTTATCACTGTCAGCAGGGTGCACCCCAAGTACTTCCAGAGCCCCTGGTTGCAACGCGGCTAGGCCGCGCGCAGCGAGGGCAAATGTCTGATAGCTGAATCCGTCCTCGGCGATCTTTTCAACTAGGTCACCGAAATAGACCCAGCCTCCCGAGGACCTCGCGTAGTCAGAACAATGCCTCGCTAGATATGCTGCGCAATTACCGATATGCAGAGCAAACTCGGGCACTCTGTAA